ACCGGCTAACCGCAGTAATGCCGTGTCTGATGTAAAATCAGAGTTGTTAGATTTACTTGGGGTTTTTTTTTTTTTGTTGAAAACTGTGAGCAAGTGTTGTTAAAGTCCTTCCTTTGAGAGCTAAGTAGCGAAGCTACAAGCTAACTACGGCCGGCTTGCCATACTCTTATTCGGACGCATGCGCAAAACGCTGTTCCGTCAGAAGTTGTTGTTTTTTTTTGGGGGGGGGGGGGGGGTTGGAAAGTTTTTTGGTCAGCTTTAAAGGGTGCATTTGTGCTAAAAAAAAAAGAAAAGGTTAAACCTGCTCTCTGATCTGTGAAAAGAACGCTGTGTTGTGTGATTTTACTGCGAGACCCTCTAGTCAAAGCCACAGAGGAAACTGGTCGCCATTTTGTGTCAGCTCTCCTTAAAGCGGAAGGAGACGCCCACTAGAGGGTTGAAGGATGAAGTGTTTCATTGTAAAACGCTGCTCTGTTGCTGTTCATTTCTTAAGCGAGAAGACTGGAAACTGTTAAGCGTTAACAACATATTATTTTGTTTAAAACATATGGCTAAAACTAGATTTGATATATTTTGCTCTGTTTTGCACTACAAGAAAGAAGCCCAATACTTAAGAAAATTCCACTACTAGGTCCAGAGTTTTAAAATAATTAACAAATCGAGATTATTTTATAGTATAGCAGTTTTCAAAATGAATTATGGCAACAACAAAAAAAACACCCTATGCTTCTTTTTCATTCCTATTGCAAGTTTTATACCAAAAACATATCGTGATCTATATCGTTATCGCCACCCATCACAATATATATCATGAATTTTATGCCATATCGCACAGCCCTACTCCAGTTTTTTAGCCACGGGCATCCACTGTTGAGAATCTGCCCAGTCTGCTCCGCTGTGTGCAGCTTTCTTCAAGTACAAGGATCAGCCAGCAGATGGAGTTCACAGAATATAGTTTGCTTTCAACACACACTCAGACTGCAAGATCGTTTCGAGTCTTCATGAAGCTTCGCTGTCTGACTCGTGGTTACAACCGTTATACCTATAAACATAATCACTGTTCAGAACAGTGCCAAACACCTACTTTACTGAAATTATTTTAAAATTATTTACTGGTAAAACTCAGTCTTATCTATGTCATGTGACCGAAAGTCAAAAAAGTACTGGCAGAATGCAGTAAATATTCATTCAATTAGTACCATTTGACTTTTATTGGTAAACACTTTTATTAACAACTGCTGTTTTTGAATGTACTTTCTAAATAAATTTGATGTGATTTCTGCTCAGCAAAGAGTCGTATGAGCAGGACGGGGGAAGAGCCCCTCCCTCCCCGACGTCTCAGTTCTGTTTAATGTCCCTGTTTAAGCTGGTATTTAAACACACATCTACAGTACACAGAAAGTTTTTTTTTTTACTTTTATTTAAATATATCTTGACTGACTGCTTTAAAAATAAATCTTGACAACTTCACCATTGTGCTGTCATGACGGAAGGGGAAGGGGGAAAGACTCCTTTCTGTTTCTCCACTTTGTGTTCAGATGTGACTTTAAAATGAGATCCTGTATTTAAATCATATTTACTGACACAGGAAGATGTCACACAAAAATATATATTTTTTTATTAAAACATGTACCAGACTTGACTGCTTGTGCTTCTCCAATCCTGACCATCGACACATGTGGATGCAGCTTACATGCAACTCTTTTTTCCTCCTCGACAGCCGATCGATCGCTTTTAACATGAAAGCTGCATTATAAGAAATTTTCTGTGCGTTTTCCATTATCGCTGAACACATTAACAGGCCTGTGCATGAAGCACGAAATCCGGTAACAAACACTGGAACTGGCTGAATAAATTCACATCTATCTCGAGGGGGATGGTCCTCCAGTCCAGAGTACCTCGCTGGTCATTCAGGTTAGACATCTGGTCACATGATGACAGAGTGGGTGGAGTTATGGTTGGATATTTGAAACCATGAGAGAGTCGTCGTACGTGCGGCACTTTTCCGGGTCTCCGGACCGCGCCGAGTCGGGATCTGTGCTCGAAATCCCCGTAGCTCAAAATAATTTTTTTCTGATTTTTGATGTTTCTCATGGCGAACCTTTGCTCTGAGAAACGTCGTATTACCTGAGGGCAGTCTCTTTGTGTCACAAATGTCTGCCCCTTTGGGTGCTGGGAGCCATGAGCGCCCAGCTTTGTCAAAGGAAAACGTTAGTCAGTGGCAGGAAGTCTTTCAAAAATAACATAAATTTTAAAAATTATGAAAAACATTAATAAGACACTCCCGCATATAAACCCCAGGGTACAAAGTGTAAGACAAAAGTAGCGGCTTATACAACGGCAATTACGGTACTTCTTTTGAAATGTTTTGGCACGCAAAACAAAAAGACAGAAATCTAATTTGCTGTTTGTGTTTTGCCTTTATAGGGTGTCTCATTACCCAAAGTTCAGTCCAAGTTTGAGAACTTCTTGAAACACAGTCAGAAGATCTCAGATCCCAAGGTGAGTGAAGAACAACTGTCATGGGAACAATTAAAACACAGGATGGTGGATTTCTGTTGATTACGTTTAAAATTGGAGTACCAGTGTGAAGAATTTCAGGCAATTAGTTGATTCGACCACAAGTGTCTGTGGGGGGGGGGGGGGGGGGAAAAAAAATTTGTGAAAAAAACCGGGGCTACTCAAAAAAACGGGTCAGGGGGTCACAGTTTCTGAAAGCCAGCAGCTCGGGGGCGGGGGGTGTCCGGCCATCCTGAGATTTAAATCATTATAGAAATGAAACACAGTTTAAAATGATGTTACCTTTTTTTATTATTTTGTTGCATTGAATCATAAATGCAATAAACAGAACCCAGAACACCCCCCACTTTTTTTTTTTTTTTTTTTTTTTTTTAATCAAGTGGGCTGCCAGTTGAGTAGCCCTGCAATAAACTATTTTAGGGAAAAACTACAGTCAAGACTAAAGAGATCAACACAACAGATTTGGGATTCTTTATTATTTTGACAGCCCTTCAGTTTGTCCTGTGTGTGGGAGCACCTCAATAATAATTTCTTTTTTTTTTTTTTTTTTCCTCCAGTTCTTCGCAGAGCTGTGGAAGTGGCGAGAGAGTATGGCAGAGGACAAATAACTGACTGTAGTTTTAACATTTTATGACTTGTCACCATAGCATCTCTGACATTTTTGGAAACGTGACTGTTTCTCACCCTTTCACTGAATCAACCTTGTGGATGAGCTGGTGGTGGATTGAAACGGTGCAGTGGCACACGTTCGTTCACCTCCACCACCTGCTCATTTAGACATTTGTTTATTAAAAAGCTTAAACCTGATGAAAACCTACAGCAATGTACGAAATGCTTCTTTTTTTTTTTTTTTTTTACCGTCCAGATTGTCTTTATTTTTTAGAAGCTAAATAAACCTTTCAATGAAACACCTAGAACGTTTCGGCTCCAGTTGACATGAGTTTGTTTTGTGTCGTCACGTCCGGCAGGACAAAGGTTGTGTGCCTTCGAAGGCGTTGCTTCAGGGAGTTTGCAAATAACATGATTCTTTTAGAGTCCAGTGTGAGCTCAAGTAGAGAGAAGGTTGAACTGATGTGCTTATTTGACTGGTTTAAGATTCAAATGTGAACAAGTGCCTGTTGAGAGAGAGCGTTGCATATTATCAGACGTGTTAATTTTTAGGATTTTAATAACTCTGTAGGTTTGAAGGCTCAGCCTGAACCGATTCAACTCAGATGATGTGGATCTGTGAGCTGTTCTGTTTCCCTGCAAACTGAAGGACAAATGTACCGTTTTCAGGATATCTATTTTGCTTTCCCTTTTTTATTTGCAACAATTTGTTATTAAAACCTGAACTGTTTCTGTTGTCTTTATTAAAGTTTGTTCAGCACTGGATATTATTTGAAACTGGATCCATGAAATCAAAAAACGTTGAATACAAAAACTAAACTTTATTTGTAACAAAAGATGTTTTGCTCCTCATCTGAGGAGCTTTCTCAATTCAAAGAGCAGTGAGTGAGGGGTTCAGGTTATAAGGCTGAGTGAGATAAGAAACATACATATGTTGTGTTGGGGGAGTGGTGGCGCAGAGGTTAGCGAGGTGGGCTTGTGATCCGAAGATCGCCGGTTCACGCCCCGGCCCCGACAACATCAAAATTGTGGGTGGGGTAGGTGAAACACCCACACTTGCCCCCACCCTCATTCGCCCCACTCTGGGCCCATGAGCAAGGCCCTTAACCCCCACCATGTGCTCCCTAAACAGGTCTCTCTTGAAAATGAGTTCTCGTGGCTCAATGAGACTAACCTGTATAAATAAAGGCTAAATGAAAAAAAAAAAATATATGCAGATTGACAATTCACACCTTAACAGTAGGGGTTTCTTAAGGTTTTTGTTACTCTAATTTTAGCAGATGAGGTCCTTCTGTTCCCATCAGATGTGAAAACTGGCTGGGAATCTGTTAAAGTTGCATTATAGGTTTTTGAAAGGATCCATGAAGTTCGTTATCTCATTTATTATTTTCACATCAAAGCTCATTTTCTAAAGTCAAGAAGTTACTGCCTTTAATTACAGTTTTATAATTTTGAAATACCTCGTATGACTTCGTAATAATTTGCTATGTTAAACAAAATTTTGTTTCGTGACGTTCAAGCATTCAGAATCAATCAGGTGTAGTCCTCAAATTTAATATGAAGCTTTGGAGAGATGATACAGAAAGTCCCAATGATTTGCTTTGAACCCATTTGAAGTAAGGTTGTTGGTTTTAAGGAATCCTGATTGTACCCCTCCCCCCAGCCTTTCAAGGATTCCCAAGGGAAAAAGACAATGTCTGCCATAACATTAAAAAGTCTCAAACAAAAATATGAACCATGACCTCTACACTGGGCAACACGGTGACAACTGGTAGAGCTGCTGCCTCTCGGTGAGCAGGTCCCCAGTTCAAATCTTGATCCGGGGGCCTTTCTGGGTGGAGTTTGCATGTTCTCTCCGTGCATGCATGGGTTTTCTCCGGGTACTCCAGTTTCCTCCCACAGACCAAAAACATGCATGTTAGACTGAAAGGGAGAGTGAATGGTTGTTTGTCTCCATGTGTCACTGTGATGGACTGGACACCTGTCCAGGGTGTACCCCGCCCCTCGCACAGTGATTGCTGGACATGGGCACCGGCGACCCCCGTGACCCAAAATGGAAGAAGCAGGTAAAAGATAATGGATGGATGGACTGTATTACAGTCACTTCAAAAAGATTATATTGAAATGCAAACGTAATATTGACAATGACCTGAAGTAAAATGATTACAAGGTAATTTTTGGTATAAAATTGTATGAATTGTAGCATAACGTTGCATAGTGATATTTTTGCACTTCGCAGACTGACCTTTGATCATATAAGCCTTTCTGTGGGCGTGCATGAAGAGAACTGACATAATGTTTAACTTGTGGGCTGTTTGCATGGAAATTAAATGGATGGACCTTGAACAATTTCCAGTATCAGTCATTTTATAGGTTTTTGTATGGCAACTTAGGCACAATGTAACTGCTTTTAAGACTGAGCACAAAGCAAAATACATTGGAATTACTAAACACCACAAATTTAAAAGTATAAATGAGATTCACAGAAAAGATACAAAACTAAATTTGCTAAACCCCTCAACACCAAGTCTGCAGAGCGAGTTAAACTGATTACCAAAAGGTCCGGACAAATTATAGTAGCTACTGTTTCTGTGCTTGGATAACTTCCTGTGTAGAAAAAAAACCTAATGTATCCAGTACAGTTAATGTGAAGGGTTGGTGGGCTGGAATAAAAGGCATCTCGTCCTTGCTACCTGCTATGTGTGAAAAAGCCTTTAATCCATCCATACTGTACACAACTGCATCAATACAGAGCTTACATCTGATTGGTGTGTTTTATTTAAGTTATGACCTCTTAAATAAAACACACCAATCACATTATCCAGGTGTTTATGTGATTAAACAGTTGATTTATAGATAACACGATCAAAAGGTTGGTACTTTGAAACTGCTGGATTGCAATGATGTAATATCTCTGTCTAAAGTAGACATTTTTTTTGCAAAAAGTGGGAGACTTCCATTGTGTGCATAACAAAAAAGGTTAAACCATGCCATCAGGACAAGAAAAATTAAAAATAAGATCAATTCATTTCCTTTGAGAAAAAATGGCAGAAAGGCTAAATATTAGAAAAAGCTAAAGTTGCACCAATACCAAGAGTCATAGCACCCTTCTGCCGAAATAGCTGAACGTTTTGATGTACGGTTTGTTGAACTGGCACAAAAAAATTGTGGAACAAGAAAGAGTCCGAAAAATGTATGGAAGAACAATGGATCACAATAGTGTGAATGCTTCATAAGCGTTCACACTATTAAACTGTAATGCGCTGAATCTCCTGTTGTTTTCTTGTGGTTGAGCAACTGAGACTTTGTGTAAACCTGTTCTGTGATGCCCAACGCTTTCGATGATGAAACTAAAATGCACTATGCATTGTAAACTAAGTCACTATTTCTTCGAACAGTTATAAAATGATGTCACCTGTAAGCGTTAACAAGCCACGCTCTCACTTTAGGTATTGCTTTATATTACACAGAAAAAAGACTTGCAGTGTAAGGATTTAATTTGGTCCCAGGTTTACTTGACCCTTTCATTAGTGGGTAATTTACGATCAGGATGATAAAAGTCATAGAAAGCACAAATTTATGACCAGCTGTGGTTCAGTGGCACAGAAATAAATTCTCTAACATTTGGTTTTACCTTGACCCGATAAGATAAAACTCAGGGTTGTGTTGTGGGCAGAATAAATGTCGAGAGGCGAAGCCTTCCCAGAAATAAATTGCAGTGAAGAAGAAAATTACTTGCGTACCGCCAAACGGAGACAGATGTTTATTTTTAACATCTTGTAATCCGTTCATTGATTTTTATGTTACCATCTTTTTTTTAATAAAACCTTGTAGGGGAAGAAAAAAGTAATTTGGCTCTTTTGAGTTGTAGTGAAAGTAAACAGTGGATGGATGATTCTGTCATTTATAGGCAAATATATATCCAGAGGGAAAGAAAATAAGAAGCCATGAGGTGTGTTTGGGTGAGACGGCACTAAAGAAGTTTTATATTTACACCAATAACACTCACACCTCTTCTTACATGTTTATTATGCTATCCTTAATAGGACAGTTTACTTTTGTAACCTAACCTACACAAGGTGAGATCAGTGAACAAGGTCAGGATGATTCTGGCAGATCCTGATCACCACTCCATGGTGAGTTCAGGTTCTTTCCATCTGGATGCAGGTATCTGCTGCCCAGATGTAGAACGACCAGACTAAAAACTAGTTCATCCCTGTAGAGATCAGGCTTCTCAATGAACAGTGATTTTTTCTTGTACTGTTATTTTAATGTCTAGTCTAGTACAGATGTTTTGTGTGCTACTGACTGTGAAACAAACTGCCCCTTGAGGGTAACAAATAGTATGGAACTTGAACTATAGTATAAACACTTAAGTTATCAGGACCAGTAGTTCTTATGGGGAACAAAGTCCAGTCCTAACATGGTAGAACCTCATTTTTGGGTCAGTAAGGTTCTGTAGGGCTATGCCAGCTGTTCTGCTGCACATCCTCACAATCCCCAAGAGTTGGTTCCTGTTTTTGCATGTTAACAATCCAAACCAACAGATGAAGGTAAAAGTTGAGACTCATTACTTTTTTTTTCTTCTTCTTTCGGCTGCTCCCTGCGTTAGGGGTCGCCACAGCGAACTAAGTCACACGAAGACTTGGCAGTTATTTTTAATGCCGGATGCCCTTCCTGACACGACCACAGAGTTACCACAGCCCTCTGTGTGGAGCAGAGAGCTGCTATCTAGGACACCCGGAGGAGCAGATGGTGCGGGCTAAGGGCCTTGCTCAAGGAGCCAGAATGGGACAAATGCGGGTGGGGGCAGATGTGGGTGCTTCACCTACCCCACCCACATTTTTGATGCTGTCGGTACCGGGTGTCGGTGTTGGAAGAGTTACCTGGACTGAGCACAGAAAAGACTGGACTGTTGCTCAAAGGTCCAAAGTACTCTTTTCAAATGAAATAACATTTTGTGCATTTCATTAAAAAAAAAAAAAAAAACGTTTCAGTCTGGAAGATGATTGGGGTCAGAATTCTGCTTGAGGTGCAGCATGAAGTTCCCACAGTGATCGTTTGAGGAAACATGCCACAATGTTACATGCAGCTGTTCGTCTGCTTGATTTTATCATCAGGACAGCCATCTACGATACTTTAGAGCACTTCATGATGCCCTTTGCCAACGAGCTTAATAGAATATTTTATTCTCCAGCAAGGCTTAACCTCTGCCCACACTGCCAAAATTACCAACACCTGTTTTAATGACCATCGTACCACTGATCCTGATTAGCCTGATCTGGAAGAGAATTCCTGGGGTTTTGTCAAGACGAATGTGTCCGACACCAGACAAGCTAAAAGGTCATCAAAGAACCAGGGACTTCCAGAACATTTCACCACAATAATGCAGGAATGTACACAAATGGAGCTCTGACCAGTTACTGGCCACATATACAGCACAGTACAGTTTACATTCAAGTAGGCCAACGTCTTTATTGGTGCTACAACACTAAAATAAATTTAGTTGAACTGGATTTTGGAAATTTTAGATATCAAGTTACCAGAATAAAATGTTTAAGATCAGTGTGTGATTAAAAGTTTCACACTACACACTTTGTTAGTAATGGAAAATATATTTGTATGCAGAAACATTTCTAAATGAAAAGTTAATTTAAAATGTTAAATAGCATACAGTATGCGACGCATGTTATTGTTCAGATAGCGCAGCTGTGGCTGAGTGGTTAGAGCAGTCGTCCGCCAATGGAAGTGTTGGGGGTTCGAATCCACCAGCAGTCACATGCCGAAGTGTCCATGGGCAAGACACTGAACCCTTTATAGCCTCCGATGTGTGTCCCATCGGTGTATGAATGTGATAAAGCTCTGATTTAGTCTCTTTAGAATGATTTGTTCAATTAACTTTGTAGAGATCTAGTAGAGTGCTGAATGAATGGGGAAATGAGGCACAGATTGTGTGAAGTGCTTTGAGTTTCTTGATTAGATAGAAAGGCGCTGTACAAGTACAGTCCATTTACCATTTAAACTTTAACATGATCTTTACTGGCAATTAACTGGTGCTTTCAAATAAAGTCCAGCAAAAGTCAGGTTTTCAAATTTTATTTACATCACAATTAAAAAAAATAATAAAATGAAAGCACAGGCCAAGCCCATTCACAAACAATAGCCTTTAGAGACTGACAAAAAAAAAAAAAAAACTCATTTTTCAAGACTCAGCAAGAACATTGGCAATCTGTTACAGGTGTGCATTTTGCTTACATCTAAAGTATCAAAAACTGCAGTGGTACTGATTGACTTCCATTATTCATGAAACGAATAGTCAGAAAACTTACCATTTTCTGTACATGAATAACTACTGCACTGTACCATGTGGCATGTCGTGAGCAACTTCTACACAACGCTGTACAAAAATTAGATCTGCTATATATTAACTTAGTGCTTTACAGTTGTCAATGTGCCAAGTAGTGGATTGTATGCATAAAGCACAGACAACTCCAAACATGGCTGGATGAGTAAGCTCTGGAGTAAACAGACAGCATTTAAAAACTTGAACGTTTAGATTTTACAGCAACATCTTGGGGGCGTTTTATAATAGACTATATACATACTTTAAAAATGATATTTGTGGATACATCAGCATTTCTTTGTTTAACTAGTGAGTATATCACAATATTCCTTCAAACGACATTTGATTCTTGTCCTGCTCAAACGAATTCTTTGGCGCTGCTTGGGGGTCTGTTTGAGATGGGATACTTTGGTGCAGGTTTGCTTTTCGGACAGGATGCCGACAGCATAGCACCTCCCACCAGGGTCAGGAATGCTCCGGCCCAGGCAATGAACATGGCAGCACCAAACTCGTATCTTCAGGAAGCGGGGAGGGAAATCAGTTAAAAAAGAACTTTTAAAGTTACATCTACATTTTGCCTCTGCACATTCTCAGGAACTCACCTTGTATTGACGGGTGTGAAGGGATCGTAGAAGGCTGTGATGATGTCGTGAGCATACCAAGAGCAGGCAATAATGGCACACAAAGCTGCAGAGCAAATTACAAACCCCGAGTCATTTCCCTCCGCTTGCACCGACTACATTTGTAGAAACGATTAAGACATTCGAAGGCTACGTACCTCCAATAAGAATGATGATACCACCAGTCAAGGCGATGCGGGCCTTGCGTGCTTTATCATCTCCTCCACAGTTGGTGCATTTCATTCCCATGGTGGCTACACCCATACCAGCCACAGAAGCAATGATGCTCACAATCATGAGGGCACGCGTTGCCTGTAGGGCGCCTAGTGAAGAGGACAAGACTGGGTTAATGTTTCTGTTATAATTACAGTAAATTATAGCAAACTTAAAAAAATAAATTAAAAAAAAGTGTTGCAAGAAGCAATTCTCTCAGTAACAGAAAAAAGGCTTTAAACACAGATGTTGGAAGTTTAGAAGCCATAACCAAAAACTCCAGAACATTTGGATCAAGCAGAGCAAGGGCTCTTGTCTCCCTAAACAACGGCGCACCACAAACTGGTTCCAAGCGGAAGGAACGTTGGCGGGGGAGGGCGCGCGTGCAGGTGTCTGAAAACAGGTCTGACCAGGTTTCAGGTTTCGTTAAGGAGGCACTCCCAGACGCAGCCCGCTTCTACACAATTTGGCATTTTAGATTCAAACCACAGGCGTTAGCTAAATACACGGAGTCCAGCTGCCAAACATCAGTTTGGGTAGATCCTGTGTAAGGTGTAGTGGCAGGTTCTGAATATTTGCTACAAAGAGTTTAATGGTACATTCACAAACAGGAACATGCAAATTTCACCTGCTGCTCACAAACGTAGTTTATGGAAACCAGAGTCATGAACAGTGGAAACTTTCCTGTCCCAACTTCCTGTATCAAACCAGCTTCATCATACAAAACATGAAGCTAAAGAAGCTTAAATTGAACCAAGGCATTATGAAATTACTAGATCATAGCCCATGTTCTAAAATCGACTTTTGAACCTGTTAAATTGCATTTAGATAAATCTTTAGAGGGGGTTGAGTTTTGCACTCGTTGACTGTTAACACTTGACTCATCCAGGTGTTTAACCTTTAACTACACCCAGCTTGTAGAGAGAAAATGGAGACTTTCACACATGGAGGAAGCTGCTCAAGACGGTGAAAAAAGGGTAATTGTTGCCAAGGACACCCACTCCTGCATTTATCGAAAAATTCAAAGCATCCAGAACATTTCTTTCTAATATTGGTTTCCTCTACTCGTCACCAAGGACACTCATTCCTGCCTTCATCATAGAAAATGCCAAGAATTCGGAACATTTTCTCTTTCTAATAATGATACCAGTCACCGTTTTGTCCCTCAGAACTGGTAAGAGTGACCTACTGAAATGCAGTAGGTGGAAACCGGTTTGTCCAGCTGAGATCATGGTTGATACAAAAAAAAAAAAAAAATGGCGGAAAAGAAAAAAAGCTCAGATTGAACAGGTGCACGTGACCGTTACATTACCTGCACTAAGAAAAAATCTTTCTAAAATTAAGCAGCTTTTTTTTTTTTTTTTTTTTTAAGAAAAACATGCGTCGTTTGATTTGAAGGGACTTTTGAGACATTGTCCCACAACAGTAACCAATAACGTCAATTAACTCCAAATATTTTATCTTATTTCACTTCCCCCCGGCAAAAGTCGGGACTTGTTGTTTTTCCACTCACTGTTAAGCTGCAGGATGGAGTCGTACACCTTGCACTGCATCTGCCCCGTGCTCTGGAACGCGCACGACATCCACAGTCCCTCATACATGGACACCGCCGTGATAATGTTGGACCCCACGAAGGCAGACATCTTCCACTGGGGCAACATGGTCCCGACTATCAGTCCAATTACCCCCAGAAGGGCCAGCGCGAACCCCAAAATCTGCAGACCTGAGTTGGCCATTTTAGTTTCTCTTCTCCTTCCAACAAAAAAAAAAAAAAAAATCGACGTCCACCTGCTGAGAGTCTCCTTCTGCTTTTTAAAACTCCAAGTTTGTTTCGCTGTCGTAAAAATAGTCCTTGATAAGATTTAGGAGTACAGTATTTTTCTTTCTAAAAGGTAAAACTGATAAAAACGGTGAATACGAGACTTTAAAAAGTCCCTCGGTGCCGTCCTCACACACCTGTTCCTCTGCCGCGCCTTAACTACGGGAGGGGACCGCGGGAGCGAGCTTTTTTAGGTGGTTTCTGTGGCAGGTGGGCGGGGACGCGCACGCAGTTTCGTCTCATCAACGTAAGCGCGAACACCTGGAGTTTCGTGACGTAAGCGCTTCCTGAAACAGACCTGAGCGGCAAAACAGAAACAAAATGGCCAGTACAATTTATATTCATTCATATGTAATACGTTATCAAATTAGGTAGCTGCTCTTGAACATATGTATCAGTGGGGCAGAAAGTTTCCTTTTGGTTCATAATTAACTACATAGATTTTACAATTTCTATTATTTCCGTGGGGAAAAAATGGGACAAAATGTCCCATTGTGCCTCTGGTTTTAGTTTTCTGTGTTTGGACCAGTCATTTGTTCTGTTCCTGCTGACTGATACATCTTAGTCTCACAAATTAATGTTTTAGCTGAAAATCTCCACAGTTTGACACAGCAGTTTTAATATTCCCTGATGATAGAAATATTTTATATAGATTGTGACAATTGTAACAATTTAATACTCCTGCATTTGATAACATGGCATGAGATCCAGAGATTGTAGCAGGTGCATCAATGAGATGTTGAACTGGACTTCTTCTTGTCCTAAAAAGAGCCTGTTGGAGCTGCCTGTGGTTCTGCTGGCAGGATGGCATAATAAATGTAAAATAAAAATGTTATACCCTATAATCTGCAAGTAATAAAGAACTGAGAATGGATCAGATACACACAAAAGTAAAGTCCCTTTAAAATGGGTAAAACAGCTGGAAATCTTAAAAAGCATAAAAAAATGTAAGTAATTAACTTAAAATACTTATTGAGGTATACTTTTTTATGGTAAATTATGTTTCTTTTTTTCCTTATGGAATGCCTGGCCTGTATGGAAAGAACACATTCCATACTTCAACTTTAAGATTTATTCTTTATTTGTTTGTGTGTGTGTGTGTGTGTGTGTGTGTGTGTGTGTGTGTGTGT